ACATATTGGATGGGTGTGGTCATCTTAGTGTTGTTATTGTTCCATTGCAGTATGCTGGTGATATAAGCATAGAATTTGCTTTTGTCTATGGAACTTTTGGATATGGATTATCAAGTCAGGTGAACATATGATATGTTGATACCTTTAGCAATCTATTAGCCCTCAAAGTTTGTTAAGCTTAATCAAAATAAAGCTTAAATAAAAAGTGCACTTAATTGAAGCAGGATTTGTCATGAATATCCACACAGATAGAGAATATTCACTCACCAAAAGAAATGGTTAATCAAAGTGCATTTCCTAGACTAGAGCCACCAGATACCACACTGAATGTTTTAGGGTGAGTAATTATTCCACCACTATTAGCACTTGCAGTATTATTGAGATATCCAGCTGATCTGAAATATTGGTGCGAAAATGACATCACTGCAAAACTGAGGTCCCTGCGAAATTTGATCAGCAAAAAAAAAAACATGCCCACCATTGCAAAAAAAATATATATAACTTATGAATATATCCTGTCACTGTTATAAAGTGCACATTAGCAGAGTTATTTTTTCATTTGGTGGCCTGGAAATCCATTATTTCAAGAGTTTTGCAATTTTCTCAATTCAGATTGGCTAACATTTTTTCTCAGATCAGGTGGATAACCTCAAAAAATCACCACCTGTCTGGCTCATTTGGGTGTGTTTGGTGTGTTTCAAGCCGCAGATTAGCCAAATACTCACTATCTCAGTAGTACAGCAACTGCCTTTGCTCTAAACATATATGCTACTCCTTTTTTGTATCTTGTAAACATCTGTAAATTTGTCAATTTCCAATTTAAGTTTTCTTGGACAACATAATGCCTAATGTAATGAATCTTATTAGGTATTATTAAAGTAAAGGTGCTCTTTCTAGTTCTGATATAAGTTGATCACCAAGTTCAATTTATTTGGCTTTCTCAGGGTATACCATATTTATACAACTATATATTTATTTATCTCTTGTATAGAGGCTTTGCACTATCACAAGATGACAGCCATGACAGGAGGCACAACAAGAGAGTCGTTTCCCCCTGGGAAAATGAAAAATCTTTCTCATGTAAATTAGATTAGACCACATTCAATTGTTCCTGCCTCCTGTCATGGCAGTTATCACATGATGGTGCAAAGCCTCTATTCACTTGTATGTAAAATCATGTGGGATTTTCTATGTTATACCACTCAAAACCATTGTATAACTTAGTTATATATTTATATTACAGAGTGTCATGCATACCCAGAAAAGTAACGCATCCAAAATTCATTCCATTTGCCACCAAAGTCTTGGATTTGGAACCTGACATCAGTCCAACCTATGGTAAACTATTTATTATTATTTTATGAATTAACCATCTTTTAATAATAAGCCTGGGAAGCATTCTTTTTTTCTCTCAAAGGAACCTGTCTTAGCATATTCCTCTTCTTTTCCTCACTTGTTTTCACTGTTTTAGGTTTCTTTCCATTGCAGGGGACTGTTTTGCTTAGATTTTCTTTACTTGGATTTTATGAAACATATTCAATATTTTAATTTATTTCCATTCTCTTACATCATTTTTAGGAATGAGAGTTTTCCCTCAAGATATTTTCAAGACACGTCACACATTGAACCAAAAGATGACCAGGTAAATGAACATGATGATCAGGATTTGACCTGCAGTGTCGCCCAATATGGAAGTCTCGATTTAAATTGTTCTGCAATAATGGGCTTGGATGAATCCAATAAGTATATAATGACCATCTTTTATAAGTTTTAATTTTTTTCCCTAACTCATAAATATTTTGGGCTTTTTGTTTATTTTCTGCAGCTAATTGTTGAACTGCAAAGAATGGTGGCAAAACCATATTTTGCATTCTTTACCATACATTTATTACATAGGTGTGGTTTCCACAAACATTGATTTTTGAATAAAAAGTTTTTCCAAAATTCAACAATTATTTTAGACATTTTATCCATCTATGGCATGCTGGAGGGCATCCTAAAGCCCTAAGACAGCTTAAATCAGCATAATCATGAAAAACTGAGGGTATGCAAGGGATTGTCCCACCAAAATCTTGTACAGCGTCATCCTCAGAAACTCGGGGGTAAAGTTCTGTTGCTAGTTCCTCACTCCCTGAAAAAATACCCCTGTGTAAAAAGTCTGTTATAGCTTGTTCCAGGCATCAAAATTTGAAATAATTCCATCACATGCTTGTTTACATATACTTGATGCTTATTGGTCGACCCCAGCAGGTCGACCAATCAGGAAAGAGATTGATTCGGACTTCTGGATCAAGCTCTAACAGACTTCATGCCCATGGGCAATTTTTCTGGGAGCGAGAAAGAAGCGGTAGAATCTTACCCTTGGGCTCCCGAGGATGGTATAGCATGTAATAGAAAGTAAGAAATTTTGGTGTGATTATCCTGTGAAATTCCTAAATACTTAGATGGACAGCAAAGATCTACTGCTGCATCTTTTAGTTGATTTCAAATGAGGCCTTACACTACTGTAATTAGGATGCATATTGGGTCATGAACAAGCTTATCACACCCAAAAAATACCTGTTGACTGTTGACCGTTGCTTAGAAAGATTCAAAGACTAATCTAATTTTTTTTCCAGACTGAAACAAAATTGTGCAGAATACTCTTTACTGAGCAACAGAGTAAAAAGAATCAGCTACCTCAAGAAGATGATGTCAGAAAAGGTGAAGTATTGTATCAACAACAAAAACCCACTGCATCAATAGCAATTTATAACTGTTCTGTTGAATTTTGTAGGGGTTGATTTGTCTTATGTATGATCCGTGCCTCCCCATTATTATACAGCTATTTCAAAAGAGGTTGGTGAAGGTTTTGATGCATGTTGTATACCAAGGCCAAAATGCACAATGGACAATGCAAATCCAATCAGCAAAAGGTCACAATGGTATGGAATTCTTCCATATTTTCTCTGCACATTTTTTCGTCATATTCTCTTCTGTGAATGTGCTGACATTATTTACATATGAATATAATACATTTCAAGCTTGGCAAGCAACATGCAGCATGCAATAAGCAGCATGCATCTAAAACTTCACCAACCTTTTTTGAAAGCAGTTATATCTAATATAAATTATATTATTTTTAAAACATGTATTCCTAAAACTTTGTGTTTGAATTTATCTTACAGGAAACAAAACACAGTACATTGAATCAGATTTTCGAACAGGAAAGCGACTCTGATTCCAGTGAAGAAAGGTCCAACATTGGTGCAGAAACAACTGTAGGTTTGTCAGGAGCTCTAGCAAAGACGGCTAACATGGCATTCCTAGCTGGAGCACCAGGTAATTTGAAACAGGAATTGTGGAATTTTACTAATACCATTTTTGGAATCTCAGTGTAAAGGCACAATTACACAGAGCAATTTTCTTTGCAACTTGTCTCGCAATGGTGAGACAAGTTGCAGCAATCGTTGCAAAAAGTAAAATTCGTTTTTAGTTTTGGTAGCAATTGAGTCTCTGTTGAACCATGTAAACACTCTTGTGACTGAATTTTGTCACATTGCTGCTGCATGACAATTTGCAGAGAAAATTTCTTTATGTAATCATGCCTTTTAAAAACCTTTAAAAAAAATTAGGGTCCAATCAGAGTTGGGTTAGGAAAAATAGAACATGGCATACTCACCAGCTCCCTCCCCAACACTCTCCAAATAATAACCAGTCCCTTATGTGCTTTGGTAAACTTGTCTGTCTTGACTTGATTGCTTGAATGGTGTACAATTTTTGACAGTTTCTAGATAAAAAAGTTTAGGATGAAAAAAATTTATGTGATTTTGTAACATTTTGAATTATGGGTTGTTCGAGAAGGAAATGAAAATTAATTCTCAAATGTTATAGTTACTAGTATCAGAAGTTTGTAATAATTATAAATAACTGTAGTTCATTTGATAAGAAAATGTGTTTGCATAACATTATAAGGCCCATAAATATGCGCCCCAGTCATCATGAATATGTTTTGTTTTAGGTGTAATGCAGCGACGCAATGTACGGCCAAGTGTTGTACCATCAGATACTGACCTTGCTAGTGAGGTATGTTGAATCTCAAATATCAATGATAAAAAGTACGTACTAACTTGTGGGTAATTTGTACTAATTTGAACTGATTTATTTATTCAAAAACATAAGAGTAATAGCATATACAATGATTGATGCCGGGGCTCATGGGGCATTAAAAGTTAATAAAATACCACTGATGTAACAATAGACATTGAACTATTTTGCATTTTGCTCAGAAATAGCAATTTTGTAGCTAACTATTGTTCTTCATAGTGTGTCCTGAAGGGGTGTGCTAATATAAACCTTTATTTTTTTATTTCACTATTTGCCCTAAGTGCTTTACAATAATCCCATTTCCCATTTTCCTAATCCCATTTCCCATCCAAATGGTTTTACAAATCCCAATTCCCAGTGCCCAATTCCCAAACGTTTTTCTTTAAAAACATTTTCACATTCCTTTTTTCCCCCATTTCTAATAACCTAAAGCCCATTTGTCCCAGGGCAAAATAGACAAATCCCAGCCCCCGTTTTACCCCTTCAGGACCCTCTTCATACTGTGCTGTCTTCTTATTGTCGGACTGCAAGATGGTGGGGTCTTCAGAGGGGAGGGTCATCATTAGTATTTTGGGTTTATCGTAGGGTTTTGAACGTCAAGGAAGGTTCCTCCTTTTTTTAATTCACATTTTTTTTCGATAGGCAGCCATGAAAACATCAACTTGCATTTTAAAAAGAATTGCCCAGACCAACCCCATCCTACATTATACTGGTTAAGCAATGTAATGCAAATTGGAAATTTAGACAACGATTACCAATATTCAATCTTTTCTGTTCATTTTTGTTTCAAAATATTTTATTTGAGAAACAAATAAAACAATTGTACAAACACTATAAGTGTGCAACATAATACCACTAAATACTGCTAAATTATGCTAATCCTATTGTTTTCTATTGTTTAATTAGCACTATTTACTACTAAATATTGCAAAGTGTTACACGCTTTTAGTGTTTGTACTCTAGTAAGTTTGTGAGTTGTTTGTATAGACGAAAGAGACAGTGAGATTTATTTATTAGGGAGATGTACAGGAAGACAGCGTAGATACTGAAAACCAGACTGAAAAAACAGGTAGAAATGCTGTTGATGTATCTTACGCAGTTTCTTTTTACGGTCGTCACGCAACAATCTTTCCCTTGCGTGACTACCTTGAAAATGGTTGCGCAGGAGGCTAGTAGAGTAGTTGCTTTTGTATTTTGCCAGAAAGCATTTTTTATTGCCTTATTCTCTTAGCACTGTAGCAACGCTATGTAAAAAGGCGCACGGGTTTCCTGTGGGGGATGAAAAAGGGGAATGCGCATGGGCTTTGGAACTCCAAATGCTAACATCGTCCTTGACTTACTGCAACGAGAAAAAGAGAATCATATCAGCCCAGATGTTATTTCAAGTTTTGATCTGTGAGGTAGCCGTGTCTAGACTTAGATCTGTGCACGTGTTACTTCAGGGTTTACAATGTAAACAAATGCCCCGTTAATTTATTTTGTTCTCATACTCTCGATATGTACTCGATATTATTATTTTTTGTTCATCAGACAAACCAACAATGGATACTCTAACCGTTGAGACTGGAGGTTTACGTGGATTATTGGACCGTGTTCTGTCTTTCAGTAAGCGCTCACAAACGAAACTTCAAACTCAGAGTGCCGAGGAAGACACTCAGGATACACAAGAGGTATAAGGCGCACTTGCGCCCCACCTTAATTTATTCTTAATAACGTGCCCGGTATAATGTCGACTTGCGCTCGATCTTATACATTCATTCTTAATAACGTGCCCGGTATAATGTACACTTGCTCTCCATCTTAATTTATCCTTAATAACGATCGCGGAATCGTCGTCACAACAAAGTAGGTTTTGATGGTTGTCAATCAAAGTGTTTCCATGACATTGTCGGTACAAGAAGCTTCGAAGGACACATGCCCATGTAATGCCATTGAAAGGCCTTGATCAGTTCACAATCACATCGTCGCAAGGACAAATTGTATGAATTCATGTGATACTAGGCCAGATTCATTAAAGTTGTCGAAAGTAGATAGATAGAAAATAGATCATTCCAAGATCCAAAGGAAATTATGGGCATACATGTTAACACGAATATCGAGCTGTGGAATGACTGAGAAACATCAGTTTTTCCAGCTATTCTTGGATCTTGGAATGACCTTTCTTGTCACGGTCATCTCCTTTGGCTCTTGATAACCATTTTAAAAGTATATATGTATATTTGTATTTATAGGTTGAGGTACCCGAGGTTGCAGTTTTAGTAGACTCTCATGGCCGAAGAAGGGGGATGCAAACAGAAAACATACAAGGCTTATCCATCGATCCTCAGAGAGGCAAGTATGAGGATATGTGTGACATTAAACAAAACTAAATATCCTGAGGTGCGTAGTGCATCAAGGTTAAAGGGTTAAGGAGAGGGAAAAATAGAAAGCAAAGCCGCAAAGATGCAAAGGAAAGGGGAGAACGGAACTGAACGAAGCAAGACACAACGATCCTAATACCCAAACTTGTCCTTCTTTTCCCTCTTCCCCTTTCCTCCAAACCCGCCGAGTATCTTTCAGAAATTTAAAAAGAAAAAAGAAATTCATTTTCTTGATATTTGATCATTAATGTTTACCCACAATTGGCCTTTGCAAAATTTAAAATAAGATTGATAACGTACTCATAGAAGTTTCGTTAAGCTGTACTATTAACTTCTTCTACGTAAGTATTTCGGCTCAAAACTAAAAGTAAACACTTGCTATGACTTAGCCTCCAGCACATGCGTCCTTAAGATGCGATTACACGGAGCAATTTTCTCGCAACGGCATAAAGTTGCATGGAGCATTGCAGCGTGTAACCAACAGCGCCATTTTTGAAAAATGTTGCGAGACAAGTTGCAGCAATCGTTGCGAAAAGTGGAATTCGTTTCTACTTTTGGCAACGATTGCGTATCCGTTGCACCGTGTAAACACTCTTGCAACTTTTGTAGCAACTCATTTGCGATGCAAGTTGCAGAGAAAATTGCTACGTGTAATCGCGGATTTATGGTCGATCATCCAACGCGAGGGAAATGGCGTTGCGCTTATACGAAGTAACGACCCGAAGCACGTCTTTGTTTTAATTTAATTTTCTATTCGTATTTTCCATTTACAGATCAAGACGATGATGAGCAGAATGCATAACTAAATGCCAGAGAGGCAGCATTTGAGGTCAAACTGTATGTAAAAACATGTCTTTAATGAACAGGGGACAGTTTAGCCAAAAGGTTGTTTGGATATTTAATTTAAAGCTTACATACTTCCTTATCTTATTCTATAAATTCTCCTGCAATTGAATCAGTAGGTGATAAATGTGTTACGATTTTAACATGCTTGTGCCCACCATAATGATTTTGTACCTCTAGTGAAGGTGCTTCGATTATCCAAAAACAAGAGCAGAAATATTGTTTTTACAGTTGCTGCAAATTTTTTTATTTAGAGATTTAAAATAACCTTTTACCAAAACCTTTTTCCAAATTCGGTTTTTCTGATTTTTGAAAATATTTGATCCCTGCGCACTTAATAAGAGCCTGTGCGCACTTATTTTGCTTCAAAGTTGTTTATTCCTCGTAGTTACCAAGGTTTTACGAAATATTTCTCTTCATTCTATGTGAAACCTCAAGAGACTTCAAACTTTTAAGTAACATTAATAGTTCAGTAAAGTTTTTCTGTGAACCAGTTTTCTTCGTTATGTGTTAACCGGCTTACTCAGCTGAAAAATCACCAAAACAAAATTGATACTAGAATAGCATTAGTCTAGGTCAGCTTTGCGTTGAAATTTATCATATTCTCTCTCGCATTTGTATTAATTACTAACAAATTATTGCAACGAGGAAAGAAAAACTGGAGGCGAAGTCTCCGCAACGCCAGATGGCATTCAAAAAGATCACGAGGACAAGTAATCGAAGTGCTCAGACTAAGATGGATTGTTTTTATGTGTTATGCCAAAAGATTGTTGTTAAAGCAGGCATCAGTCTGGTTATACCTGCCTGGTTGTGTCTTCGGAGTAGTATAGGGAATGGGGGTTCCAGCGCAATCTCAACACGGGCAAGACCCGTGTCAAAAATCCACCTACGGAAACAACCCACTCCAAGTGTGGTTGGGGGCAACAGCGC